TTATTTGTTCCTTTTTTGTTTATTGGGCAGATTTATTTTGTTTTAGGTGTTGGTGGCTCCAACTTGAATAGTAATATTATCTTGAAGTTGGCCGATTATGGTGTGTATTTTTTGTTTTGCGTGTTATTAGCTTTTATTTTTTTTGTATTAGTTTTGTTGGTAGAAAAAAGGATAGGTTTGTTGGTTACAGTTTGATATTGGTTTAGTATATGTTTTAAGTACACAAATTTGTAAAATTTGTAGGGAAAATTTTTTCAACCAAAGGTGTGAATGAGAACAACTTTTGGGAAAGCAAGGCTATGTGAAATTTAATGGAAACGTCAGCTCATTGTGGGAAAATTCTGCTACCAGTCCTTCATCACCTTACACGAAATAGGGTGAATACATCTCATTGCTTTATTGTTATTATGCAGTCCTCTTCCCTAGTCTTATCTCAGTCTCTCTCTTGCTCCGTAAAATCCGTCTGCCCTACCCCTTTTTCACCTATTTCACTCGACTCCTGTCACCACATCTCTCCTACTCGAAGCGATATTCACCCTCACCTGCGTCCGGGTGACTAATTCGAGGCTCAAGCCTCTGAGTGCCATCTTCACCCCCTTTTTTTTTCATATGGACCACGCCTCTGGTACAACCGAACTACCGTCAGCCAACTAGCTCCGGTCCCCGCCGTGTCTATCCTGTTTCTATCCCTAATACCAAGTCTATGACTTGCCAACCCACGAATGTTGTGGTACTGCTCGCTTTGGTCAGGTGCAATGGTCAAGCGACTAGCAGACAAAGTGAAATTTGCAACAATCTTGACGCCTACTCACAGCATTGTAGTACAATTCGAGCATCACTCTTTTGCAAATGCTACTAAAAGATGGGGCGCTTCGAGGAATCTCACTTCGTGTATGAATTGAAAAGCGATCTGCCCCAAAGACGACGTCGTCTTGCTCTCGACCAGCTGCCGGCCGGTCATAGTGAAGGTGTGATTAGCGAAAAAGCCTAAAGTGAACTCAACAGTTGCCCCATGCGACTGGCCAACTGGCGTCCATTCGAGTCCAGTTGAGCGCAACAGACCTTTCGCAAGGTGTGGCAAGTGGGCAAATTGTCCTTGGCGAGGGTAGATGGAGCGAAAAAGGTGTGATTTCGGCCATGCTCACCTTGCGCCTTGAACTGTGGACTGTGCTGCAGCTCCATGCCCGAGTCGCGCGGTGTGCTGCCGTCGGTGCCCAACAGGTTGGTGACTGCGCTACTGGCGCCGCTCGCCAGCCCTCCGGTACCAACTGCGCCGCCTCCGCCTCCGCCTCCGCCTCCGGCTCCGGCTCCGGGCGCCAGGCCCAAGCCGAGCGCCATGCCGCTGCCGG